CCATCCACCAAAGACAACTAACATAGCCCTGTAACATGTATTTTGCCTTTTTTTTTAAACAGACTGTAAAATTAACTTTTAGATCTTTATTAAGTAAATATTTAATTGGTTAGCTGAGGATTACAACTGTGTCCCCCAGCCCTTTTCATTAAACTGAAAGCTTACTCATATACAATGATTTTACTGCAGTGTAAAAGGTAGACTTCATATTCCTAGTTTAGAAATTGAAACAGTTTAATTAAATAGACAGACTGCTACAAAACACAGCATGGCACTCAGTTGAATCTAAACCTGTTGAACTCACTTACTCACTTACAGAAACTGAAGACACGGCAAACCGTATTTACATCTGTTTGACAGCCAGCTCAAGGCTTCTGAGCAGCACAAGCAAAACTCAGTTTTGCCCCCTCTCCTCAAAGATGTGGACAAAGCAGCTTCTCAGAGCAAGCAGAGCCGTCATTGCTCTATCAGTAGCCTATTCACCTTGTCCCACCAGTTCTCCTGTTATTGAGGTTTAAAAATTACATTTGGTTTTGAATTAAATTGAATGAAATACATTAAAATCACAGCCACTAACAAAAATACCTTAAAGGCAATTTTTTACTAATAGCCCAGCATACCTTAAGCATTTCCCTGGGAACTGACCAGCAAAAGCAAGTACCCTACATAGCAAATCTATGCCTACTGACTAAGACGTCAGCTTTCCCAAGACCTTTTAGACTCATTTCAAGTAGAACCTGGACCACCCTGCCAAAGACCAGGAGACTTCAAATTGAAATTGCTTCCCCCAAGGGATGTGGTTTTATTTGGGCCATGTTCTGTAAAACTCTGTGATCCTCGTGGAATGTATAAAATATCATAAAATTGCACTGGGCAGTTGAGGCTGCTCAATTTCTCTGAGGACACGCTCGCAAACTAAAAAAGACAGGTTTAAGTGTTCTGTGTCCTTTATCAGACTAATGGAGTTTTAATACAGTATAGACATTCTACATGTATTTTAACTAAAACCATTCAAAGGATTGCATACTCATGCATAAAAGTATAATTTTAAATCATGCAAGATTTTTACTTGAGAAGATTGTACAGTAGTGAAGAATATTGCCCTTACTATAAATAACTTTGACCTGCAGTTTTCGGGCAATTCATTTCCTTGAAATATAGGTAAATACTCTTCTCTTTTCAACAATAATCACAGAATACACTTTAGCTTTGTCACCACGATTTCTTTTTATTTAAAACAACAGGAAATGGGACAAGAAAATAAAAAAAAAAGACTCCCGTTAAAGGACAATTCACAGAAGGGTCTTTTAGCTGGCAATTGTCAGCACTGCTCAGGGCCAATGGATCAAATTTAAGTCTAAAAAGTGCTGATGGTTGTATGAGTCATCACAGTAGGAGCTGGTGCTCTGGGCCACTCAAGTTCAATTTTTGGTGTTACCATGGGGTGTAGGAGCTGGAATCTTGGTGAGCAAAGATTTGCTCGGTATTTGATGCACTGGGTAAAGTGGCATTCTTAAAATCACCAGCCTCCCAAGCAGCTAGTAAGCCAGCAGGAGGTTAGTAGGAAGAGAAAGTAATTGTCCTTTGTGCCTCTGAAAATAGCCAACATTAAAGGATCCTCTTATGTATTACCTGAGTCTCAATCTACGTTTGCGGCTCAAAGAGGAAGAAAGAGGCTGAAGAAGACAGAAAATAAAGCTGTCAGAAATATTAGAGAAGACCCTCCTCAAACTGTCATGAGGCATACAGTTTTCTCATCTGGAAATATGTGCCACTATAAACGATGTGTGCTCTGCAAGCAGCAAAAAGCTGTTTGGACTTTACGTTTACGTTTGCAGAACATACTGGGTATGTGTTGTGTGTGTGCATCTACTACAATCTTGAAGATGCCTGAGACACAGAGGATGGTACTGCAAGAATGACAGTCTTACACTTTCCTACATGTCCACCAGTGGAGAAAGTGACACGCAAACTGAATCCGCTTTAAGAGCCAGTACACGAGCACTCTGAAATCCACTTTATCTGTAGCAGCCACTCTCCACAGAATGCCAATGAAGGAGTAATTGCATCATAACTAAATGTGGGATGTGAATGTAATGGTTTGGTCTTGACCTGAATTTTCTTATCTGTTACTGAATTTCACAAAGAGGAAAAAGATCTTGCTTCAAACTCCCACAGTTCTACAGTTTGGTCACTGATCTGATAGGAAGTTTTCCTCATCTGCTCTATGGACACCACAGAAAAGGAAGAAAACTCCCAAACACTCCCAGTGTTTCAACACCGCTGAGCACTGGTTCTTGCTTCAGCCCTAAATTAGTACACTGCTTAAACCAGATCTGGATCTGGATACCGGATCATGAATAACGAATTAGACCATCTCTAATGTCTTGAAGAAACGGGGAATATCAGCAAAACTGAGGCTACAAAGAAGAGTTTACGGTTCAGGAGACTCCACAGACTTCACAGGGGCCACTCCCACGGTGCAAGGCCCAGCTACCCGCTTACTTCACAAGCAACATTCCCACTGCCTTCGCCCGGTCAAGGAACATGTGAGGATCCTTATGCAGAAAACAGGGAAAAATCTTCTTTGCTAACAGGAAAAAAATCCTTGTAATAATAATACTAATCTATTTATAATGGTCAAAAAATATGACAGCTTACAACAGCGTCCCAGCAGTGCTTTGGCAATATTGTAACATACTGTTGTATTTTTAGAAGGACTGTTCATTTACTTTCTCCTAAACGCTGGAATTCTTATTTTTCAACAAATGCTCTATTTTTTGGTGTATCCATATGCCAACATCGCAGTGTTTTACATCAGGCTAAGTACGAGTGGCAGGCAGAAACAAAGCTCCTGTGTACACGTTACATTACAGCAGCACTGTCAGAGATGCCAAGTCTCAATCTCCTTCTATGCTTTATGTAGTGATAGCTAGCTGCGCCACTTACAAAAACCTTCCTGGAATGTAGCGGTATATTTTCATGATGAGTAACAGAAAGCTGCTGTTTCTCCATCCTGAGCACTAAGGAACTATCCCACTGCAAACAATACATCTGACAGTTTAATGATACTGCTCCACCTAACTGGTTTTGGCAGGTAGTACGTACAGTAACGGTGCAGCAATGCTCACGTTTAAGCACTTTTATACTTTCTCAGCGTAGTGACACCAGGAACGTTATCTTACTGTTTCAAAACTCATTAGCACACTACCCGCATACTTAACTGGAACGTGGTAAGCTCTCTGCAACTCCCACCTGCTACTACACGAGCACGACAACAGGACGATCGCAGTCCGTAAGAGCCTCTACAGCTGCAGCTCAAGCATCTCCTGACAAAATTCACATGCTTGTATTTTCTTTCTAAAAAGTGTCTATTAGCTTCCATCGCTTAGAAGAACTTAGAGCAGGCAAAATTAGATACATGTGCACGCACATGTTAACTGAATTAACTTCAAACAGTCAATACATCTCAAATGTCCATCTGTTTACAAAAGACACTTGTGGCTTTCAAGTCGTGTACTCCTTACAGTGTAACTCTCAATCAAAACAGTTTAAGTTCAGCCGGAAAGCTCTGTTGCAGGATTTCCACACATAATGGCCACGTGTTTATTGGGTTCTCGTGTTCAAATTATGACAGAATAGCTACGCTATCCCTGCACAAAACATAACAAATCCATGCCAGCCTTTCCCATTTCAGCTGGAGAAGCCTCATAAAACAAAGCTGGCAATATGTTTGTCAGATATTACAGCTAAATAATAATAATAGAGAAAAAGTGTCCCAGTTTACCAGTTGTAAATAGCGCATTTTCAGGATGAAGGGTTCATTTTGGAGGCAGTGATGTATGTTTCGGCACTAAGTAGGATTAAGGGGATACAGAAACAGCAGCTGATAAAAGTAGCTGTTTTCAGGTACCCTTCAGGTGATAAAATATGTTGATGAGGAAGAATTCGGTACAAGCCCCTCATGTAAAAGAAGCTGGTTTTTAATCTGAGTGGTTCACTTCAGGACAGCAGGCTGCTGCCTTTCAACTGGGACAGGGCCAGCCGGGACACAGTATCTCCCAGTACTACAACTGGAATAAAAGTTGTTGTTGTTGTTGTTTTTAATTTGAAGTTAACACTTTGCGCTCTGACAGAGATGGAGCAAAACGCATCTCTCTTAAAATAAATAAATAAATCATCTGGCCTGCCGGTTTAAGGAAAATAAATAAATAAATACTAGAGGCCATTATTCATGAGCAGCACGAAAACAAATCACTCTTCGACCTACTCCCCTGGCAGATTCCCACACTTATTACCCAAAATCCCACGGCTCCCCATGGGCTCTCTCCCCCTTGGCCGCCCCCGGGGCGAGCCGGGCACGTCCCTCCCGAGCCGGGAGGGGGGGAGGGGGGTACGAAGTCCCCCCCCTAACTTTGCTGACAAAGCGGGGGGCACGGCTGGCTGCCCGGGGGGCTCGGAGGAGGAGGAGGAGGGAGGAGTTGTGCCAAACTTCGGAGGTGCGCGGCGGGGCTGGGGAGGGGAAGGGGAAAGCCGAGGGCGGCGGCGGCCGCGCACCTACCCGCTGGGCTCGCTCGGCTCCTCCGGGCGCTGGGTGCTCGGCGGGGGCCTGGCGGGGCCGGGGGTGCCGGGTGCGCTCTGCCTCGCCCCCCTCCTCCTTCCCTCCCGTCCCTCTCTCTTCCCCCCGCGTGTCTGTCTGTCTCTCAAGGACGAGGTGAGATCCCTTTGCCGGTCATGAGGCAGGCTTCGGAGACAAACAACACGATGCGAGGGCAAATAACAAAAGGCAAAGGGAAAAGAAGAAAAAAAAAAAAAGTCTGGGAACAATGGGGGAGGAGAAGCTCTCCGCGCGGTGTCTGGCCACCTCCGGCACCCCGGCAGGGAGGAGGAGGAGGAGAAGGAGGAGGAGGAGGAGGAGGAAGGCGAGGCGGCGGGGAGGGGGCTGCGCGGGGACTCCCCCTGCGCGACGGGGCTCTCTCGCTCCGGCCCCGCCGGTAAGTGACGCGCCCGCTGCCACCGCCACCACCACCACCACCATCATCATCATCATCATCTTCATCATCATCATCATCAGTCCCGGGGGGGGCACCGAGCCCTTCCCGTATCCCCCGGTAACTTCCCCACAGCGCGGGGGACGCCGCCGGACCTCAGCCTCGGGAGCCCCCTCCTGCTGCGGGCGGGGGGGAGGAAGACGAGGAGGAGGAAGAAGAGGAGGAGGAGGAGGGTGGTGTGGGGGTGTCCCCACCGGGCAGCCCCCCCCTTTCCGGGATCCCGCTGCCGGGCGCGGCCCCACACACAAGTTTGGGGGCTCCCCGCACGGCCGCGGCTCTTCCAAATAACGCTCCGCATTTTTATTTTTTATTTTTATTTATTTTTTGGGGGGGAGGGTCCCGTCCGTCGCCGCCCCCCCCCACCCCCCCTGTTTCCCTCTCCCCACTCCGCAGCCCCCCGGCTCCCCGTTACCTCCTGTCCGCCATCTCGGGTGAGCGCCGCCGCGTCCCGGGGCAGGCCCGGCGGGGGCCCGGCCGGCCGCCCCCCGGAGGCTTCACGGGTGGGTTGTGGGGTGTGTGGGGTGTGTGCGGGCTGTGGGGCGGGCCGTGGGGTGTGCGGGTCGTGGGGTGCCGCCTTGGTCCCTCTCGGCCGCCGCTCGTTCCGCCCCGTACTTCAGACAGGCGGCGGGCAGCGCGCTGCCGGCGCGGGGGGACCGGCCCCGCTCGGGGACCCCCGTTGCCCACCCGCGGGTCCCGTCCCCCCCAGCCGCCCACCCGCGAGGTCTTTTGTTTTTTTTTGGCTTGCCCCACGTGCTGGTGCGAGCCGGCTGGCCGCGAGTGGGCACGGCGGGACCGCCCCGAGCCGAGCCGAGCGGATCCGAGCCGAGAGGAGCAAGGCGGGTTGTTGTTCGTAGGGGAAGCCTTATCTCCCGCAAATATTTGATGCTGGGACGAGTCCAATAATTAACAAGAACAATCAAACAATTTCACCGCCTTCTCGGGGATTTAAAAAGTCGTCATCTGGAATTCATGAGCATTACAACCTTTTTTTTTTTTCTTTTTTTTTTTTCTTTTTCTGCTTGGATGCATTACTGTATATGATCTTTTCATTGTGTGCGTGTCCCTAAGTGATTTTTACCCTTTGATGCAAAAAGATGCAAACCATTAACAGCACGGAGACTGTTCACAACTGCTGATTCAGTGCGACTTCAGACCTCTCCGTAGGAGTGGGGAGGGAGAGTGGTAACCCTGATGGGAAAAAGCTGTAGCAATGAGGAAAGAGGAAAAAAGAGGAAAAAGAAAAAGGGGGGGGGGGGGGGGGAGAGAATAAAAAAGCTGTAGCAATGTTTCTGCCTGTGCTCCCTCCGTAGCTGTGTGTCAGGAGCTCCCACGGGAGTGCTGCGGGTGGGATGGGAGCAGCGCGGATCTCACGCACCGCTGCCTGGCAGGAGGCTGGCCGGCACTGTGCAGACGCAAGCATCAGCCCTCCCAGCTGCTCCTGCTGCTCCTCTCACAGGAGGAAAACCCAGACTGGGAGAGAAGCGGGATTCCTCAGCTCTACAGCAGCATCTCTGGCCGGGCTCAGGGTGCCAGGGGCCAGCCTGGCTTTCAGGAGCTGTTTGCTGCCCCATCGCAGCGAACCAGGCAGGCCAGGCTGGCGATGGCCCATGGTCTGGCTGCATCAACCCACCCACACCCTGAAGCAACACGAAAACCCAAACTTGCCTCACCTGCATTAAGTTGAGACGCTTTAGAAAGGTACCCACACACTGAATGGTGAAGTTTCGCCCTGCGCTGCCCCATCTGTGCTCACACTGGTCATCTGAGCCTCGAGTCTTGAGTCCCCCCTGTTTCATGCAAACCCCATTTCTGCTGGCCAGCACCCTGAGCCACTGACCCCAACCATTGCATCCGTGGGGCACACAGCTCCACCTGAGCTCAGGTAGTGCCACACCGAGGCACCTACAGCCAGATGTCTCTGGGTTGGGCTGGCAGGAGTACACGTGTCCTCCCCATGTCTTTCTGAGCTCTTTTCTATTGAAATAAATCCCACCTATAAGCGCTGCCCCCCCCTTCCCTTCTTGCTTTCTGCCAGCTCCTCACAGTCATGCTGTATTTCCTTGCAGTTCAACAAGAAAGGAATTAGGGTGGTTGGGTCCAAAACTAATCTGGAGCAAAGAGAAAAAGCCAAATGCGGGTGCATTTTATTTAAGATCAAAAGCACAATGGTGTGAGATTGTATTATGCTCTCCACAGGAGCTGTATTTTTCTACTTCTACAATAGGATTAAGGTGTTTAGTGGAAAAGAGAATTATAAAAAAAAAAAAAAAAAGACCCATTGGCCTGGTACTAGCTGCATTTGAGTTTTGCTTAAATAATGGCAATATTTCATCCCTCAAGGACTCTATCATCATAATTTCAAACACTTTTTAAAACAATAATTGTGAATGCCAATAATTAATTTACTGTTGATTGCTGAGGATTCATTCTGTTGTTTTTTTCTTTCTTGTGTGTGTGTTTTGTGTCTTTTTTTTTTCTTTTTAGGTAAAGGAAGGATGTTACCATTTCTGTACTGACTCATTTCAAAAATTTCAGTCAACCAAATGCTTTTTAGTAGAACCTAAAGACATATCCTTATTTAGCTCTGCATATTTGAGAACACAGGATGTTGAATGTTAGTACACATGGCTTGGACACAGCTGGGAGCACAGCTTCAAGCAACTTTTCCACCCTGAATAACTAAAGAAAGCACAAAAGAACGTTTTCAGCGTGACCTAGCCAATGAAAGGTAGGCTACTGTACAAAAACAAAGACTGTGACATATTTTCAGGTGGAAATTTGCACAGTTCTGGCTAACTTTTGGTTTCCAAACATTGGGGGAGCACCGTTCGAGACTGGTTCTGTTCTAGCTGAATACATGGAATGCAACTGTGTTGAAATGAAAGGTATTACCCATCCTTACAATGAGCAGTGCACACCTAAAAATAAATTTGCACATAGTGAAGGTGGTTTATACAGAGGTCCACTTTCACTAACTTGCCCCCACCCCCTGTACCTAGATGTTTAACAAGGCTATCTTTAGTCTTGACTCCATATGGAAAAAACATACAGGTAGACCTGTCTCCAGTTCTGCCTGACTTCATCACTTCATTAGCTTTCTCCACGAGCTGCCGTGTGTGCCTTCTTGCCTCATCCTCCTAGAAAATTCAGACCCCTCCAATTTTCTAATATGCCAAGTCTCAGCGCACTCATTTTCACAAGTACTGATGTAAAATGCAACTTTTCTTGTAAGGAAAATATTATTTACCACCTTTAATATGTGTAAATGACTGCACTGAAGAATAAAGCCCAAGTCTAACAACATTATGCCAAATTAATAGAATTATTGAGCAACTATGATAGCTTTAAAGCCGTATCAAAATGAAGAAACCATTTAGGAACTTAAACATCATTTTTCGTATCAGAGTGTGTCAGCCCAATAACACCCTTATGTGGTCCTAATCAATCAAAGTATCACTATTGCTGAATGTAAATTCAGCATGGCTTATCTGCTTCTCCATACCAAAATCAGGGTGTTACTTGCACTGATTTCTGTCACAAGGATAAGCCTCTCTTACTTAAATTGGAGTAATCTGCTTCTTTGCAGGTCCTGTCTCCTTTCCCTCAGAGGCAACAGAGTCCTAGCTATGATGTTTCAAAAAGACAACCAAATAACTTCCCAGGGAACATAAGTATGCTGTTGTTGTGTCCCTGAATAGGGCTCTCTAAACCTCTTCTTGTTAGCTGATTCTTCAAACTAAATGATAGAGTTGTGCTCCAGCAGAATAGCTAATGGTCTGAAATGCACTTTGGATACCACATTTAGACCTTATTAACTAAATAAGGAATATGTTTATTTTTAGTAGAAGTTGGGTACAAAATCTGCAAGAAACAGGAAATGTTGATTAAATTAAATGCTGATTAGGTCTTCTGTAATTTAAATGGTTGCAGGCACACAAAACAACAACAAAAATAAAAGGAAAAGGGAGCTAGTTGAAAAAGGTAAGGTACTTGCTTTTCATTGTCCATGCTGAGCAAAAATTAAATGTTACAAGAATCTGTAAACAGCTTTCAGTTTCAAAAATGGATTAAAGGCCCAAGCAACACTCATCTATCATCCTACAATTAGTACCTCCTAGATTTCAATGAGATTACTCACATATGTAAAAAGCATAATCTCTCAGGACACAGAGATGAATAAAGACGGTCACAAGGATGGATTTAAGAAGCAAGCTGGAACTTCATTAACACAATATTTTCACATGTCAAACAGTTAAGTGGGCCCAGTGCAGGGATTACAAAGCTACAATTTAGGGCAGGTCTTCCCAAATCTCTGGAACAAGCTCACATCTGAACCTCTGAACCCTTCCCTGGGAAAAGGGAGGAGTACCTAAACCCCCAAACACTTTATTTAGATTTCCGTCTTTCCTAAACACAAATCCCATTACAAAGTTGCCGATTTCTTATTCCAACTTCAGCCTTACTCCATACTTCAGAGTACCCCAAAATTTCCATAAATTCCAACCAATGAAAAAGTATGTATATTGTCACACAGTCCATTTCCAAATCCGACTTCTCAGCCTACCCATGTCTCCATGGTGCTCCAAAGACCATGAAAGCATCCTATGCCACCCCCAAGTACACCAAAATAGGGAAAACATACCTTTCTTTACACCACAATAGCTAACCAAGCGATAGCATCCCTAGACCATAGTTTCTATGACATGGTTCATAGGGAGAGGAAATACTGTAGCCTAAGGCACAGAGGCCCGCATGCCCCCAGCTTCACTTACGTGCCTACCAAAAACCAGAGAACCGGTCTAGGATCCTAGCTGGCATTCTCATGCGTATATGCTGCCTGTCCCCTTTCTTTCTTGTCTGTTTACCCCACCACCAGGTTAATTAATAGTGTTTTCCATGCAGCCTCCACTGGAGGTGGAGGAAGCACCTGCAGGATGAGAAACCATGTAGCGATGCTTACTTACGTATAGAGGCCAGGAGGAACATCTCTTGCATGGCTCAGTGGGGGTCACTTAGGACTAATTAGCCAGGGCAGACCGTTAGGACAGTTTATGTGTGGTACTTCCAGACCCCCATGTAATTCAGGTATGTCAGGATGGCACAGCATTGTGCACAGCATGCACATTAAATTCAAGCAAGGACTGCAACATAAAGTTTTCAAAGTGATTAGCAGTTTTGGGTGCTCTATAAGTTGAATAAATTGTGGTGAGATGGTGCAGTTTTCCAAGAGCAGATGTGCTTCTTTTTTTTTTTTTTCAAACCTAGCCCCATTTCCTAAAGCTAGTGATCAACTGAAAAAAAAAAAAAAGGCGGTAATTGGAGTCATCTGTGACTTCTGAAAATAGAGGACAGTTCCTGTAAGTAAGGTTTAGCAAGAGCAAGCACTTAGTATCTTATCATTAGCACAGGAACAAGAATTTGTATATACTGTTTTATTAAGATTAATATCTCTACAGTGGTCCTTATATGAAAACAAAATAAAAAATGCTGTAAAAGGACAGAAAAATGACTCAATTTCCTGTTACTGACAAAAGTGTCTGATTTTGAACATAGCCATCCTTTGCGCCACAAGACAAAGTTTTTATTCTAATAAGGTACAGCAATTAATAGTAAAATAAATTTGGAAAAAAAAGTGATATGAGCCTTTTAAAAAACTTAGCATGTTTGCCACAGGTTTATCATCTAGCATGATATCCTCAAGAAAAGCAAAAAGAAAGAAAGAAAAAAAGGCAAAATCCTCAGCCACAGATACTTCTTCTTACAAGAAAGTTCATTCTGCTAGTTGTGATTTGTTGAAAAATCATAGACCATATACATTTTTGTTACAATATTTTTAACACAAAACTCTTTTTTTTTATTTTTTTCACTACCATCCCTCATAGAGTAACACAGCTTTTGATATCACTAAATAACTATAATAAAAACAAAGATGAGGGGAGGCTGAAATGCAATGAAATGTTATTTGTATTGGTAACAGGGCAATCACTGATTTAAAATTGTCAGTGGAACTCCTTTTCTCAAATGATTGCTTGGTTAGGAAAACAACACTTTAAACCATCTAGCAACATCTGAATTTCTGGAGAAGGGCTCAGGTTTAGTACTTGTCATAATCTGTGTTTTGACTATTAGACCTGCACATTTTTAAAAGTGTGCACATTCTGTTGCTCTGAAAGTATCCTACATACTGCTCAGAAGATTACTGTCTAGAAGGCTCATACATCTACATATTTTACTATTAAAGAAACAAAAAATCTTGCAATTCCATAGAAATAAAATTATCTTAAGAACTTGAAGTCTGTCTTACCTCATTCACCTGCTTATGCAGTTGCAGGTATGCAGTGAAGGATAAGCAGTGCAAAATATTTTGTATTCTGGTTTTACAGTGTAGGCATTCAGGCTATGTTCACTACAAATGACTGCGCAAGGTGAGAGGAACTGGAGAATCAGGCCCCAAAGATTTTCTATACTGGATCAGATCACTGGTGCATTAAGTGTGTCACCTCACAGCTGGATGCTCCAAAATGAACCTAGCTATCTCTGTAGTACTGTGGTAGCTACTCTGGTAGTCAGGATGCATCCAGAAGAGGAGACCGCTTTGTGTCTATCATTTTCTTAGTGTATCTAAATATCTAATTCAGACTTCCTTACCATTTCAGCAAGAGTAAAGAGTATCTGACTGGTTGTGAAATAGGATCTAAAACATAGCATTAGAAATTACAAATAATAACATTAGAAAAACAAACACATTACTTTCTTACAATTTTCATAAGTGTCTGTGGTACAAGAAAATATTCCTCAATATAAGAAACACGTGCTATGTATACCATAATTTACATCATGTTATTTTACACTGCAGAGCTACTTTGTGGAACTTTACAGCTTTTATAATGATCCATTTAAGTCAGAAATAGAACAATATTACATAAACAATAATTATATACAATATGCAAATATCATCTAGCTATAGGAAGTGCTACATATCAGCAACACAAGGCAGCAAAAAATATATAAACATACAAAGCTATCTACATCTTTTAGAGGTTTCCCATACTGAACCTCAATGAGAATCAGATCACAGCTAATCAAAGCAAAGGCACAGATATTCCTAAAACATTTCAACATGCTAATTTTAGCATCAAAAGCATCCAAACCCTTTTCTCTGCAGAAGAGCAAAACTTTTAGTGCACGTTAAAAATATAGATCTTAATTGTCACATAACTGATGCGACTGTTCAAAAGCAATTACATACCTGCTATCTGACTGAAAGTCAATGGCACTTATGTGTCCCTAAATAGCTTCTCTTCAGTCACCAGAAAAGAAACATAAGCAAAACATATATCCATACAATCACCAAATATATATATATATGTATCCTTACACTACTGGTGTGTATAGTATTTTTTTTAAAAAAGGTTCGTTTCAACAATATTTCTCACTATATATATGCCATGTGACGGGTGGTCCTGTTTCCACAGATCCCATCACAGCACATAATAGTTTTAAAGGAGAGCCTGTATCCCACCATCCATTCTGACACTGAACACTAGATTGCAGGTCTTTTGCCAAAAAAAAATTAAGGTCATTCAGGAAAGCCTCTCTCTTTCTCTCTCTCTCTCACTTTTTTTTTTTTTTTTTTTTAATCCTTTTTTTTAATTCCCACTGAACTACTTCTCTCCTATCAAAATTAAATAAAGAAGCAAATAAACCAATGACCTATTTCCAAAAATGTTTATGTAAAGAACTGTTATTGACAGCCTGGCAATTTCACTGGTAAAAAACTTCACTTTTGTTTTGGATTGGTTTAAATGGTCTTATTTTCTCTTCTGATCATGAATTGAAGTACCTGATGGTGCAGGTGAGGAGCACTAGAAACAGGATGGCTGAGCATGGTGCTATCCCAGCATTTGTTGGAATAAAGGGCAAGCCTGTGGGCAGTGCTCCTAGGCAGGGAAACCCAAGGCTTCCCCAGCCACTGGCACCTGCTCCAGCTTACTGTGCAGAGGAGACAGAGAGGGAAAGAAGAACAGAAGGGAAGAAGACATCCCATAACATAAGAGACTAAAAAATAAATACAAAACTTTTTTTTTCTTTTTCCTCCCTCTTCTTCTTCTTTTTTTTTTTTTTTTTTCTTTCCTTTCCCCCCTCTCTGGGCAGCCTGTGCCTGTGCTCCCTCCCCCAGGCAGCACAGAAGGGCTGCCTGGTGGTTAGGTGGAACTTCCTGAAAAGCAGATTTTCTCTGTTTAAGCTCTTATGCAGTAACATGAGGGTGGAAAAGACCCCGGAGGAATCCCCATGAAGACCATGCAAAGCAAGAGGATGGGCCAGTGGGCACGTGAACCATAAACTGGGTATTGAGGAAGCCATCCCATGGACTGAAGCTCGCTTGTAATTCCTGGCCATCACTGCAAAGCAGCAAGTGCCTGGCAGCAGCAGGGTTTCTTTGGCAGTGCGGGAAGCCCTCTGCCACTGAGCCTGTGAAGTCCCTCCCACCCAGACCCCAGCTGTTTAAATCTGGAATATTCTTTTCTCATCCTTAGTTTCGTAGAGATACTGTAATAGTGAAGGCCTTCATGCAGCTGATTAATTAAATTTCCTCATGGGGTAAGGAGATTTTCAAAGACAAAGGTGACTGGGAGATAACTAGCAGGGAAGCAGAGAATGAATTTTAATGGGGAAGAAAGAGGGTTGACAAAATTCATGGGACAACAGGAAAAGGTACTAAAGGCAAGCTCCGAGGAACCCTGAACAACCTTAGCCATAGAACCGCAAGGTTTTGTGCTGCTGGTGGTGGTTAGGTTCCTACCTACCTTTTGGGGTTTTGGAAAGCTCACTGCTGTCAGGAGAATTAAATAATTAGTATCTAGTTTATAGCAGGTTACAGTGTTTTATTTAGGAACAGTTAGCATCTCTCAAAGTATTCAGGACCTGGAAAAGCTATCTTTTCCCATTTCAGCTCCCTTTGTTCAGAATTACAATCTGTTTAGTTGCTGAATTGTCAGAATGACATTGAAAACTAATCACCTGTCCTACTCTCATGTTACCTTCCTCTACAACCTGTTTACCCTCCTCACCCGCTGTTTTCCTAAAAAGCAGCTCACTGATAAGTGGCAGGATTACCATTTCTGTGGTGACACAGCTTGTCAGAGAAGAATACATGCAGATGAATGTCATTTTTGTAGCGAGAGGAACAACGGATTTTGGACAGATTTATTCAGCAGAGGTGGTAAGTGCAATCCTGCTTGTTAGTGTAATTCACAAGCTCATCTCTTCACCCCTCTTGGCCTAATCAATTCAATCAAATGGTCAGGTCTCAACTGGTGCTTGTGCGTGCATGCATCAGGCAACAAGTGTGCAACGGAGAGCTCAGGTTCCCCCTGTTCTGGAAAGCATGTGAGCATCCTATGACTGAAAATATGCTCCCTTGCATAATCCTGAGATTAGCAAATTTCTGGTAACAGATGTCAGACAGAAATGGGAGGAGAGAAAATGCTTAAGGTAGGCACTGAGGAAAACCCAGGGTAGGAAACCAGCCAATTCAGGTTCCATGCCCAGTTGCAGCTGCATCTCTGTTACTGATTCCTATGGGACCTGGAGAGAGGCAAGTCAGCTCCTCTGGCTTCAACATCCCTGCTTCGAAAAAAGGAGAACAGAAGTAGGTGAAGCTATTTTAAAGATCTTTGGCTGGTTAGCAGATGTGTTGTATAAGAGCCAATTGATTATAATCATCTTATGATAGATGGGGGGAAGGGGGGAAGGAGAGCAGATCAAAAATATTCTCCTCTCAAACTGTAGCATTCATGAAGAATGTCACTGGTTAAAACAATTATCCTCCTGGCAGCTGTGTTCCATGGGATCTGTGTTTTCAGGGGCAAAACAGTAAAAGTAGCTAACTGGGCCTCCCTTGGGCATAGTGCTGCCCCTGCAGGAAGCCGCTGGGACATGCTGAGGTGCTGCATGTCCATGGCCAGAGCTGGGTCTACCTGGCAGGGGGACAGCTGGGATCTTCACATGCTTCTGCATCTCATAACACATTCCATGTGCTTGGTGCAGCTGAGGGGCTTCCAGGCAGGATGGATGGTGGCTTCCAGTGACACTGCACATAGATAATTTGTACCCACTGTAAACTGCGTCCATAGGCCAAGTCCTTGTATGGCTGACTGAGGCCCAAGGTTTAGCTGTTCAGTATCTTTTTCTAATGAAAGGTTAATAAGCTTCAGGTTTACAAAGGAAAGTAAGTACACACACAGCCGTGTGATATTTTGCTTTACCATTAACATACTCTTTTTGACAAACCAACTGAAACATCTAAGGGGCTTTAAGGTTTGAGTACTGGTAAAATCATTTGTAGTTGTAAGGAATATTCCAGCAATTCATGTCAATAGAGGGCTTGAAGGGTAAACCTTGAGTCTCTGATATCCGGGGATAAGAGAACAAAGGGGTTTCAGAATAACTGCTAACTATTGTGACTATTGCATGGGACACTACGCAAGTCTCTGATATCCGGCCAAGAGATTAAGGAGAAAGGGGAAGCTGAAGGACAACTAAAAGACAAAGCTTGCATGGGACACTGCGCAAGTCTCTGATATCCGGCCAAGATGGACAAAGGAGAAGGACAAGGACAATGCCTGGGAGGAAGACTGCGAGCCTTCAGCACGAGATACTCCCAGAGGGACCACCAGAGACTGATACGCATGCGCCAGTGGGAGGGTTCAGATTCTGAGAACTAATTATAATAACCCTACCTTTTCTATAAGTAGTAATGAATATGTATTAGCCTAGGAGCATAAAAACCAGCCGCCTGATGTAAAGTGTGTGCGTGTTGGAGGAGCCCAGACTCCCCGCGCACCCAGCACTATTTACTTGCCTTTTATTGATCCCATAAATAAATCTTATAAAGTTAAATTGACTCAGAATTTATAACATAGTGAAACTATATGTTTCCATGTGTGAGCAGACACTGAATATTTCTATCTGTATGATGAAACCTACTATTAGAACTGCCCAGAGCAGCCTTCATTGATTCCCAAAGAGAAAGCAACCTATTACAGAAGTTGAATTGAAGCTTTAATTGGAATTGCCGACTTGGGTATGGTCTTACAGTGAGTAGGGTTCTGTGGGTATTATCATCATTTGGGATGGTTATCATCATTTGGTTCACTTCATGGTGAAGTGAAGCTACTTCACTACTAGAGTTTCATATGTCTACATAAAGACAGAAAATGATTTCTACCCAGTGCATCTATCTATCTGCCTGCCTACATGTCCAAACACTTTACTGATGTCTGACTGAACAAACCTTTATTTCATTTGTGATTAACAGTATTTTTGGTTGGGAGCAGAGGGGAGGGAAACAAGCAGAAGCAAACAAGAAAAAAAAATAAGAGAAAACCTCAAGTGGTGTGCACAAAGCGTTTCCCAGAAGGAATGCCCCTTTCTCCTCCTCAGACCTGTTGCTCTGCTGCACCTTGCTCATTCTCCCCATAGTGTGGGAAATGACAGCTGCCTGGGGTCTGTGTGGAAAGCTGGGTACCTGCACAGGGCTCACTGCTGCCACTGCATTAGCTCAGCGCACCCTCCCCTGGGTACCTGGCAACACACCAGAAGCCATTCTAGTCTGTAGTGAAGATTTTTTTTCGCCCCGTGATGTTTTGAATCCTTTCTTCAAGCCTTTGTTAGCTGCGCTTGGAAGAACTCCAGGCAGCCCAGAAGACAAAACAATGTAATACTTCAAAAAACACAGTTCATTTGTGTGCCAATAAGGGTTTGTGCATACACTCCATGAAGATACAAGGCCACTGCTTTAAACACAATAGTGTTTTCCTTTCATCTCTGCCTTGCTTCTCTGCAACAAGGTGTAACTGAGCTCATCATCCACTAAGGTTACACAAAACACTGTACCCCTGAATTCATTATTATCATGGCAAAGAACATAGCCAAAAACTCAAGAAAGGACTTTGTGTGAGTATGTATTGGAGGCTCCAGTCCACCCTTCATATGTGGATAAAGAACACTATGTTTACAGAGAAAATTAAAAAAAAAAAAA